GATTTCTTTGGTCCATTTCTTTTCGTTTTTTTTTATTTATTCTTTTTGTTGTGTGTGTGTGTGTTGGCTCGAGCGAACAAAAAAGTGTCCAAAAAATGACACAAAAATAGGATGGCGGCATCTACATTTAATGTAATGTCTTTTTATTCTCATTCATTCGCATCTCGTTATCAACCGATCTGTTTGTCGCTTTCTCAATTACAGTTGTTTTCTATCTATCTATCTATCTATCTATCTATCTATCTATCTATCTATCTATCTGTCGATTTGTGTGGCAGATTCTTTCTCTCTCTCTCTCTCTCTCTATATATATATATATATATATATATATATATATATATATATTAATGAATATACATAATATCCAACGTGCTATATCCACTACTGTATACTTAAGAGGTCTGTTATATAACATTGAACACAGTTTTTAGAACAACTGTCATATGTACGCTTAAGTATGTGTGTATACGTATGTTTTATTACACCCATATATATATATATATATATATAAGGTATATATATATATATATATATATATATATATATATATATATATATATATATATTCAGTGTATCACAAAAGTGAGTACACCCCTCACATTTCTTCAAATATTTAAGTTTACCTCTTCATGGGACAGCACTGAAAAAATTACCCTTTGACACAATGAAAAGTAGTCTGTCTGCAGCATATATAACAGAGTTAAATTCTTTTCCCCTCAAAATAACTCAAAATATAGCCATTAAAAGCTAAATCCCTGCCAACAAAAGTGAGTACACCCCTGAGAAACTACACCCCTAAAAAGTGAGTACACCCCTAAGAAACTACACACATAAATGTCTAAATTGAGTACTGCTTTTCATTTTCCCTCCAAAATATCATGTGACTCATTATGTGTTCATGGGAGCAGGTGTATTCAAATTTGTAGTGCAGCTCTAACACTCTCTCTTACCGGTCACTGAAAGTTCCAACATGGCACCACATGGCAAAAAACTCTCTGAGGATCTTAAAAAACGTATTGTTGCACTAAATAAAGATGGCCAAGGCTACAAGAAGATTGCCAACACCCTGAAACTGAGCTGCAGCACAGTGGCTAAGATCATCCAGCATTTTAAAAGAGCAAGGTCCACTCAGAACAGGCCACGGGTAGGTCGTCCAAAGGAGCTGAGCGCACATGCTGAGCGTCACATCCAAATGCTTTCTTTGAAAGATCGGCGTAGGAGTGCTGTTAGCATTGCTGAAGAGATTAAAGAGATTGGGATTCAGCCTGTTAGTGTTCATACCATACGCCGCACACTACATCAAATTGGTGTGCATGTCTGTCACCCCAGGAGGAAGCCTTTTCTGAAGGCAATACACAAGAAAGCCCGCAAACAGTTTGCTGAAGAGATGTCAACAAAGCCCATAGATTACTGGAACCATGTCCTATGGTCTGATGAGACGAAATTTAATTTGTTTGGTTCTGATGGCCTTAAGCATGTGTGGCGGCGACCAGGTGAGGAGTACAAAGATAAGTGTGTCATGCCTACAGTCAAGCATGGTGGTGGGAATGTCATGGTCTGGGGCTGCATGAGTGCTGCAGGTATTGGAGAGTTACATTTCATTGAGGGAAACATGAACTCCAACATGTACTCTGAAATACTGCAGCAGAGCATGATCCCCACCCTCCAGAAATTGGGTCGCAGAGCAGTGTTCCAGCATGACAATGACCCCAAACACACATCCAAGACAACCACTGCTTTACTGAAGAGGCTGAGGGTAAAGGTGATGGACTGGCAAAGCATGTCTCCAGACTTGAACCCAATAGAACATCTTTGGGCCATCCTCAAGCAGAAGGTGGAGGTGCGCAGAGTCTCAAATATCCGCCAGCTCCGCGACGTCGTCATTGAGGAGGGGAAGAGCATTCCAGTGATTACCTGTGAAGCTCTGGTAAACTCCATGCCTAGGAGAGTAAAGGCAGTTTTGATAATGATGGTATTACACAAAATATTGACAGTTGACATGTTATATGTTAATATTGACAACTTTTCCTAATGGGTGTACTCACTTTTGTTGCAAGGGATTTAGCTTTTAATGGCTATATTTTGAGTTATTTTGAGGTAAAAATAAATTAACTCTGTTATATATGCTGCAGACAGGCTACTTTTCATTGTGTCAAAGTGTCATTTTGTCAGTATTTTCCCATGAAGAGATATACTTAAATATTTGAAGAAATGTGAGCGGTGTACTCACTTTTGTGATATATATATATATATATATATATATATATATATATATATATATATATATATATATATTCAACTTTATAAAATATGTATGTTATAAGATCACTACAAATGTTGCAATTCTGGAGTCTTATCAAGTGATGGTGTTTGATGGAAAATAAACGATTTTAGAGTTCAGAAGCTAACCAAACCTCCTCAGTAGAAGAAACTTTGTTACATAACCTATAATGACCAATCAGAATATAAGCATATGGTAATTTAAAACAACATTACAACATGGTCTAGTAAAAAGTGCAATCTATTAGTGCATTAAAATTAAGATTACATTCGATTAGAAATCAATATAAAACTTTAATTTTAAGTTAACAGTTGCATTTAAAATTAAACCATTTCAAATGCCCAATACTGAAGTTAACCGATCATCATGTTTAACATTATTTCAATTTATTCATAAATGAAACGAGGAGAAAAATATATTTTATTGTTCTTAACGATATGCCAATTTATCAGTTAATTTCGACGCTGATAAAATGTATTTCCGATCACTATGTTGTTCTGTTTTTTATTTATTACAATATAGTTGCCTCTTCTACTCAAACAGCTTCTTCTCCTGCACTTCCCGTCTGTGGAACTCCCTTCCTCTTACTTGCTTCCCCGATGACTATAATCCTCAAATATTCAAGTGTAAAGGCAATCGATATCTAACACCCTGAGCTTGTTCCCCGTCCTTCTCTGTCTCTTTTCCTCAAACATGCCTCTTTACACTTGTTCTCAATCCTCTGTAACCCGTTGCGTGCTAGTGGAAATCCCGCTTTGCTTGGGGTGAATTGTCTTAAAATAAAATTCACAGTACACGAGCTAGAAAAAGAAAAAAAAACACATATGAACAACTACAGTGTAACCCGGATATAAGAGACCCGGGTATAAGAGAGATTTTCTCTGGTCCCAAATTAGAGCCTGTGTTAATGTAAACAAAATAGACCAAACCCGGATATAAGAGAAACCCGGATATAAGAGACTTCTTCTCCGGTCCTGACAACTTTCTTATATCCGGGTTACACTGTACTGCTTATTTAGACGATATCATTTGCAACTGCGAGGAATGCAAAATTAAAGAATAATAAAGAATAGTTTTTAAAACTTTCATTTTCTTGTATATTTGAATTTAAATTCAAATGTGTTATTTATTTAATTTTCAATCGAAAACTGTTTACTGAACAGAGGCTTTGCTGTTGGACGCGGATGTAGTTCATAATTATACCCTGGATGCAATCTTGTTAGAAACAAAGAGTGGTGAATTGTGATATAATATCATTCCGCTTATATGGCAGAGAATGCAGATTAATTTTCTCACGGTAAGACCAGAAGCAACAAAAATGGGATTCTACAGGATAATACTGAGAATACCATGGACAGAACATGTGATCGAGGGGGAAATATCAGGAAAATGACAACAAAAAGAACACGTATTTCAAGCCAACAGGAAGAAGTTGAAATATACGGGACGGATGATTAGCAAAGAAGAAATGGAGAATTTGACACGCCAAGGAGTTATTGATTGCAAAAGCAACGGAAGGAGATATACAACGAGATATCGAACGAGATTTTGAAAACGAACAAGGAGTTACAGACAAACACTGCTTAGCGATACTAGGGATAAGAAAATGTAATGAAACATGATCGTTTGCCCATTATATAGACAGGGTACATAAAAGAAATAAATGCCAGATAATGAACAAGGAGTTATAGACAAACACTGCTTAGCGATACAAGGGATAGGAAAATGAGATGAACCCTGATTGTTTGCCTATTATATAGACAGGTTAGAAAGAATTGCCAAGCTAATACCAAATCTTCACACCCGCCTTTCTCAAAGCATTGGTTAAAAATCAGGATATTTGCACGTCAATTTTCAGCAATGTGCTTTTCCGGTATTGTTTGATTTTTGTTCTTTTTTTTTTTCAATAATAATGCGAAAACAATTGTGAAGGGAAATCGAAAAACCAGAAAGTAAGAAGTTTTTCTTGAATGCCTTTTCTTTTTTTTAGCAACTTCATTACAGGAAAATACGCCGCGGGACAATGGCGAAGATATCATAAAATAAAACTCTATGCTGGGAAGATGGCTGTCTCAAATTGTTTTGTGATTGTACGTTGAGAAGTGGTTGATGGAAATCTAAAATCACGGAAGTGAATATTGTCATTGGTTGGAAATGAATCAAAATTATTTTAAATACATATGACAGGACGAGTGATTAATAGTCCGGTATATATAAAGAAAGAGAAAATGGAAACAACAATCAAAGAAGTATAATGCAAGAAACATCAGAAGAATCTAGAATTTATACCAATATGGGGTCCGAGACATGGAAAAAATAAAGAGTAAGGTTCTTAAATAAAAGAAAACCTGCATAAAACCGTTTTTAGGCGGAATAAAATGAAAAAAAGACAAATATATTGTTGAGATGTTGTGAGTTTCCCGCGTGTCGGTGTATGAATCAAGACAAACACAGTTGTAGAGGAAAATACTGGTATATTCATATTAAAAGCAATTAACAATAGAGTGATTAGTAGAACGAAGGTTAGTTAGTACGAAACAATATCCAAAGTCTATAGTCCAACGGTATGTAACGGGTAAGCTTATGTGGACTGCTGACGCTCTGTCTCTCGCTCCCCCGTCCTCTCTCTAGAGCTGACTTATATAAGAGGGACCAGTCCATTTCTAGTTAGAAGGTGGGTGCGCCCCAACATATATATTACTGACTTTCGGCTTCATTTTGAAACACCGGTTCACGTTCGATCACCGAGTTTAAGCAACATCGAGCTTAGTGAGTACCTAGATGGGTAACTGCTTGGGGATAACAGGTGTTGTAGGTTTGGGTGTGCGGTGGTGTAATGGATAATGACTCCGAATTGTTAATCGAAGAACCGAGTTCCAATTCTCGCACGGATAGTTATATTCACTTACGCGCAAATACCATTGGGAAATGTATGAATCCACCTTTTTCCTTCAGTTATGGATTATTTAGTAAAACATGTATCACTAGACAATTATTATCTCAAAAGAAAATTCTTACAATTTTCTGACTTTAAATAAGCTGCGAAAGGGTTGATAAGTCGTAAAAAAACAAATGAATATTTAAATAAATAGATATTGAAAAAAGTCTGGTCATCCCAGAAAGAAGCAAAGTAAAAGAAAAATGCGTTGTATAATATTCAAAATGTTTGATTACAGAAATAAAGAAATAAAACATACAGGTTATTTAAAAAGAAATGTTAATGATATTCAGAAAGAGGATGGAAAGATAAAAGAAATTATTTAAGAAACGGGTGGGAAGTATCCTAGCTAACGTTGCAGAGTAGTTGTATTTTTGATTGTGGAAATATGAGGCTGCGGTGAAGATACGGAAATGTTGCAGTGAAGTATTTTCCTGGCCACAAATTGACCGCGAATCGTCAACGTTGTCACAAATTTATGGAAAAGTTGCGACGTGCAAAACTTCCGCACAGATCAAATAACATCAGAATATTTTTTTCTTCACTTAATCACACGTCTTCTTCTTTCGCCCTTAATCCCGAAAGCAGTCATTGATGCGCCGATGTGCTCAGATGTCCACTATTATCTTCCATCTGTCATGGTCGTGTGCTAGAGCCGGGGTCTCCGCGATGGTTTCTTGGTGTGGTACATCATTTGACGTGTCCGAGCGCACCCGTCTCAAGGTTAAACCACAGCCGATGTCCTCCAATTAGGTGGCATGCGACTACGTCACAGTTGTAGTTCATGTGTGGAACCCTTGCAACCTGCCCAATGACCTGCACCGAGGAGGTAATTCGCCCAGTTGTGCTATGTTAACACCAACCCTTAACGTGAGTTTACCCTGCCAACTGAAACTGGGACTATCATGTGAGAGATTTAGCAGATGGTTGAGGATCAGTGATGCAGTTCCCTCCCCGAAGATACAACATGACAGCCATGAAAGGTACTAGGACGATCCAGAAATGCTCCCACCATATGGCCACTAATCAAATGTATAGAATGTATAATATTTATTTTCTAATATTCTAATTGAGAATCACTTTGCAATTTAGCATTCATTTCCGTTAATGTAACATTACGAAGCGAGGTATTTGCAAAGTTACAAATTAAAGATGCGGCCACGAAGGTGGGAGTTTAGAAAAAAACGTTTCGCCACCTTAATAACTATATATTTATTATTAGTATTGCGTTGGTGCATAATTATCAGGCGTTTGTGTAGGTGAGTTAATTCTCTCTCTTTCCCTTAATGATGTAATGTATATGCATACACTTGGATTCCCCCTCACAGTAATATGATTGGCTGGTGTCAGCCATAAATACAGACTGATGTGGAGGTACAGGAGGACGCCTATTGGCTATGCCCTACCACTATGACGAGGACCAGTCCATTACGGTTACCTGCTAGATTGTCCTACCCGGTTACAGTAGTCAACAACCACTTTGCTACTTCGAACAAATATATCCCTTTCCGGGACCTATCTCTTAATAATGACACCAAAAACCATCGCTGTAAATGTGAAAAGATCTAACTGAAAATAAGTAGAGAAAGCGTATCTAAATTTTTCAGTGAAACATTTCTCAATGAAAACAAGCTGCCAATATATATATATTCCAAATTCTTCCGTTCCAAATTTAGACACCCACACCTTACCCTGACTTGACATCTATGAAAGTAACTCTATACTGATACTTATTATTAACACCCAACACACGCCTACACAATTTAAACAATTCGCCCTAGCTGTTACCATGGAAATTTTAGTTTCAATTATTAAAACATGTAAATTTCAGAAATACGTTATTCCAAAAAAAATTTCGCTTGATGATGGAACAGAGCTTACTTTAACTCAATTTAATTCAAATAATTATATTGAATTTTTCGGCTCTTGTTTTGAAACATGAGACCTCTTATGTCACGAGTTGGAATCATATTTTTAAATAATAATTGTATTTATGCTCTACTTTTGTATCGAGCACTATTTTTTAAAAATAATAACTAAAATACTAAGGAACTTTGGATTATTTACCTAACGAGTTCTTTCCTATTTTCTATATATTTTTCATATATATATATATATATATATATATATATATATATATATATATATATATATGTGTGTGTGTGTGTGTGTGTGTGTGTATATATATATATATATATATATATATATATATATAAGTGGTACTCTTGCGTGTTTCGGCTTGTGATTGAACAAACCAATGCCCAAGGAAAAATGAGGAATAAAAAAGAAAGAATAAAGTACATGAAACTGAGGCGAAAACAATCGTCCAGAATTCAAGCCAAAGTAAAAAAAACAAACTCCAAAACACAAAAATAACTATGTAAAGTGCTCAATACACTAAGTAGACCAAACCTAATATAAACCTAAAGAGCCAGACAAACCACTGTTATTGAATTAACAGGATATAACTGATAACTGACATCCATTAAACATGGCACGTGGAACTAGAACAGTCTACACCAGTGAGCGAAATAAAGGGTTCAGTTCGACATTCCAACCACCTGAAGAAGGCCGGAGCGTACAACGGCCAAAACGTTGTAATAAATATGGCGACAAATCTGAGGACAATAATCCGAATAATGTAAATAATGTACATAATACCTCATCTCAGCAAATATATACAGAAACCCACGGAACAACTAGGCTTACAGCACCTAGTATTCATGAGCGGTCATCCACAGATGTATTAACCAGTCTCAATGTTGGTTAATTTCGGTAAGCGCGCGGGAATCGGTAGCAAAACATGGCTGGTCTTCTTATATTTGATTTTTTCATGGTTAATCTTGGTAATGTTCATGTCTAAGTAATTTCGGCTAATATCTATCATTTTCGAAGACGTTTGCTGTTTGTCATAAGTTGTTGTTTTATATCTTGATTCACGTGCTTTTTTTTTTACGTTTCACGTATTTACATGGAAATTTGTGCCTTCTAGTTTGTTTTTTTAATGAAATATATTTAGTATTTTCGGTCCGAAGTTTGACATACCAAATATATTTCAACCTAATAAATTTATTTCATTGCAAAAATAGAAATCACGCACACTCACGTGAATATTCGAAAGGCAATAAAATCCCTCACGCAAAACAAGTTTTATTTATATATATCAAGTATAGATAGAAAGTTTTATTTAAAAATAGTAACCATAAATAAAAAAAATAAAAAAATTATTGGAAAAATGTCATCAGAAAGAAAATTTCATTGTTTTTTAATCAAACATTCATGATTTAAAAAAAAACAAACACCCAAATAAACAGATATAAAGGGTGTCCATAAAGTTCGTGTGTACTTTAAAAAAATTATAACTTTATTTGTATTTGCGATAGAAATAATATGTAAAAAATGTTCTAAAATATAATACGCCTAGTCTTAAGTATAGCTAAAATAACTAAATTGATTTCAGGCATTACTGTAAATCGGTTGGCAAACGTTTTCTGTGAACTGCAAAATCGTATTACCCTTTGTATTGCTAATGATGGAGAACATGTGGAAACTTAAATAAAATTTCAATAAAGCCTTAAAAAATATAGATTTACTTCATTCTAATCCTTTTTACAAATTACTTCTATCGCAAATACAAATAAAGTTATAAATTTTTTAAAGTTCCCGCGACTTTTATGGACACCCTGTATATATAGAGAGAGTTAGTAATTTACTAAGGATACCTTAGTTGTGTCACCAGGCCGTATCTATTCAGAAAAGTTACCTATATACTTATATTACTCTTATATATACTTATATTACTCTTCAAGTATGAATTGAGTTCTCCGAGCCGCTGGCGTCTTTCGTATAGAGAAAAACGTTAAAATTCCTTTTCTCTCTTCGACGATAGCCTAGAGGTAAAATACCCAAGTGATCCCGGCTTGAGGCAATCGGATGTCTAGTCACACTAAGGAGCTATGGTACAGTGAAACAATCTCTCTCTCTCTCTCTCTCTCTCTCTCTCTCTCTATATATATATATATATATATATATATATATATATATCAATATATATATATATATATATATATATATATACATGTCTGTGTGTATAAAAGAGAGTATTGATGTTTCGGGAGTATACAATTCTGCATTCTTCTGTTAGTATTTAATTTGGTTTGGTGTGTTTTGTTTTACGGCATATCAACCACAATGGGTCATTTAATGCCGACAACTTTTTTTTTCCTGGTAATATTTTTGTTTTGTCAAATATCTAAAAAATGTCTTGCTGCTAATATTTTTTTCAGAAACGTATTGCTGGTAATAGTTTTTTTTTTCTTCCAAAATTTATTTCAGGTAATAATATTTTACAAAACATTTCTGGTATTAAAACCTATTTTTACACTTTCATAATGCTTTTTAACTCAGTTTCGGGGTTAACTATTTACCCATAGCTGGGACCCTAACAGGTGCTACAACCCCGGGTCAGGGCGGACATGGGAACACCAACAAGTAAGAGGTGGTTGCACGACCCTCATAGACTCCTGATCAGAGGCCTTGCTGTAGGACGTAGTTTATCGTCTTACCCAGGACTTGGATGTATTTTATCGTCATACCCAGGACGGGTTAGTATTTAACTATTCATGCTTGCATTTGTATAATAACATCCTGTTAGTCAAATTTCCTGCTGAGCTAGAATATATGGCTTTCGTTACTTGAACCAAGGATTGAAAACCATACCAACCGGTAACAGTAACTCTTTAACCAGCTCAGCCTTCGCCCAAAATACCCAAATGGGTGGTGTAATTTTGAATGGTTTAAATTGAACATTGCGTTCATCCCGTACTGGTAATATATGTTTTATTAGCAGACAAAATGAGAAAAAATAGTTCGAATAA